CTCGACGCTCGCCGCTCCCCGCTCGCCGCTCCCCGCTCGCCCCCGTCTCTCATCGATCGATGCGTGACTCCACCTCTCGCTATCGGATCTTGAGAGATGTCAACAAACACACCATTTTGCATGTTGCCGAGTCCGGCCTTCCGCTCCTCCGTGCACTTATTGGCTCAGACGTTTTTCTGAATTCGGCCGATAATAATTACGATTTTGTAAAATTTTATATAACTTTTCTTCTCAGTTTAACCCAATCTACTATAATCTTTGGAATTGTCCATATCGAATCAGACACCCTGTATAATATACTACAACATACTTTTAGATGGTGAAGAAGGCAATTTTGTATTCTGTGTATAATCATTTTCGGAATAATCACTTCAAAAATTATTGTTGTTTATTTTGTGTGCTATAATAAAATGAAACATTCTATTTATCATCAAGATAAGATATTTTATAATACATTAAAAATGGATTAAGTCTTACTCTTTCGTATGGTATATGACGGATTTTTATATTGAAGGGTACAATCACTCTCAATATGAGTGATATCATATTCAGATTTTTTTCATCAAAGAATTGTTTTTTTTCTTTGTCTTTTACTTTCTAAATCTGAATTAAGATCTGACGTATGTTCTGCTTTCGCACACTTTACTTTTGCTTTCAGCAAATTATCTGTAACAAACATACATTAGTGTTTGAGCGTCAAACGACTTTACTCGGATCTACCGAGAAAAATAATTAATATGTATCGGCTTCGACCGATCGGGTCGAGCCGGCCGTTGAACTCGAGGACGTTCCGCAGTATCCGCGGTATATGCGCGATGATGAGACAAAGAGTCGAATCACCCGGGGTCGTGTTGTGATATGCGATTACACGACGACTTCGGGTGGAAAATAAAACCAGCGGTCACCGGACAGAAAAACACCTCGATCTTTCGAGAACAAATCCAGCGGCCCTCTCTCGTCGTCAATTCCGACGATCGAGGAGAGTTCGATCCGAGACGTAGCAATACTCAGATCGCTTCATGACCGCTCCGATCTCAGTATTCAGAGTTCCATCGCGTCCGACGCTCAAGTATCGGGCTCGCTCTAGAACGTATTATTTTTATTACTGTTCAGCGGTTCAACTTAATTCTATTAATGATTTTGCCGTGAGTTCGGACGACCGTATCACCGGTGCGCCGCGCGCCGTCCTGCGAGAGCGTACTTCAGGTCCCAGCCGTGCGCGAACAAGACCTCGGTGCATGCGAGGCGCAACAAAATCCGCGCCAGGAAGGGCCCTGAAGGAAGATCTCCGTTTGCGCCTTGATACGGCTCGTCTCTCGCGCCACCATGTATTTAGAAATATTAAACTGGTTGTTAATTGACGATCGTGTGGATCAGCTTCTTTCACCATCTCCTCCAGCGAAGCTATACGGCCTCGCGCTATTCCAACTAGGCCCGGTTTCACCAACGCGAGTTAATCTAATCGGTCCGTTAACTTAACAGGGTGCCAACATAAAACTTCTTTATTAACCTATTTTCTTGGTTAATAAAGAAGTTTTATGTTGGCACCCTGTTAAGTTAACCGATCGATTAGATTAACTCGCGTTGGTGAAACCGGGCCCTACGCGCTCAATTCGTGAGCGGTGCTGGTTTCCGGGCGATCTCGTCGAGATCGACGCCCGAACAATTAGGTTAACAATTTAATAAGTTAATAAGTTCAAACAAAATATTCAACATAAAAAATGTTATGAAATTATTCCACATTTGATATTATTAAAATTTACCATATTTCTGTCCATTTGCCAATTGCCATATTTTACATACTTCCCATTCACCAATTATTGGAGACATACAATTAGATGATATCGCTTGCGTTAATTTTGTTCCTTTATAAGATGGCCAATAACAAATGTCACCGAACACCCAATTAGATGGTATTGCCTCAACGACATTATCATCAACGAAATGAACTACATTCCATTCCATCTCCAAAGTTTAATAAAGATCGCATCTGATGCAATTTTATTATTTTGCTAAACAAATAAAAAAAAATTTATTTTATCTTTATCAATAAAATATATTTATTAAAAAAATATTTGTTATTAATTTATTTTGAAATCCATAAATATGAAAGCTATTGTTAAAAAATTTACAGAATCAATTTCATATAATGTGTAATATAAGATACAATTTAAACGTGAAGCAGAGGAAAAACGACAAAACCCTTTTTACTTGGAAAAATAATTAATTTGTTACTAACATTATTTACTAAGAAATTTACTAAGAAAAGTGAAGTAGAACCAAGAATATCTACGGAATAAATATTTAATCGCGAAGACTGACACGGCTCATTAAAGAAATTATAAATATTTGTAAACTTTTTACCGATAATATAATAATTATTATTGCGTTTAGCGAAATTTTTAATAAGCACTACAGACCTATCCTTAAGTAAACAGCAATTGTTTCCGATATTTGTTCCCAATGTAAAATATTTCATTGTGCATTTCTTATATTCTTTTTCAAAGTCATTTGACAGTAAAGGTCCTTCGTTATGCTCTACGCTGAACGATATTTCGTTTTGCGTTGTATTACATGTTGATAGTGTATAATCTTTTTCATTGTCACGGTCTGACAAAGTCAAAGTTTCGTCCGTTTATCGGTCAACACATTCAAGTGCTTTACCGGGGATTTGGACTTGATTGTGTGACTCTAATGATTAATTTGATCTTAGTTTGAACTTATTTTTGAACTTGTTCTTTATTTTCTAACTCAGATAGTAATTTATTCAGTTTTTCAAAGAGGGAAATTGGATCTTGGTTAGAAGATAAGGCTTCCTTAATCTGGTATTTAATTCTCTTGAGTTGTACGCGTTTTCCGCCTTTCTTTCTTGTCATAAGGATAAAGGTAAGAGATTGATGCTTTGTCCGCCACTCTATAGGCAGCGATCAAATTGACTTAGGAAATCTATTCGCCACACAATTAGGCAGCGATCAGATGAAATGGAGGATTTCGTTGAAATGAATTGTTGTTAATTAATACTAAAGCTTACTTTATTTTTGAGTTATCAATTCCTTGAATCGAAATAAATTCGAATCAACAGTTAAAACTAAGTCTTAGGTCTGTTAATCTCAAAAACTGTCTGACTGGGTATCTGACTCTCTTTAACTCAAGCTCTGACTCTGAGACTAAAAACTGAACTCTGAACTGAACTCAAAAGACTCTCGTCCCGAAGGTTCTCCTTATATTTATAGTTGAATCCCCCCATGATATTTTAAGTGGAGGAGGAAGGTGTTCTCTGTTCGAAACACCACCCTGGCAACAGTTATCCCTGCTACCGTGGTACCTGCTTCGCTCGGGTTGTAATACGATAGACGATCGCGATGTCTCCCACGGAGAAACTTGATTATTAATCAATATTATTGGTATGCCCATTGCGCTGTAAGAGTTCAATAATTTTTTCTTCTGATTTATTTTGGATTTAAAAGTTTTAATTTAAAAGTTTTATGCTAATTACATGTACGTTACATCATGTAAACGACGTACAATTTGAGCTAATGGTTGATTTGGCTTTCTTACCAATTTCTTTAAAACTTGCAAACAATTTTCAAACGGAAACGCACTGAACAAATCCAATGTTCCATAGATCTTCCATAGTGTCTTCCACTATGTGCGCTAATCCATGTACATTATGAGAAATATATTCGAAACCATAAATAACTTTTACTTGATCAATGAAGTATAGTAATAAGCTATTTGAGAACTCACTGTATGTTTTGTATAAATCTGTAGAGCTCAAAATTCTAATTGCAATATGTAAAGTAAGAAAATGTAAATATTTATTGGAAGGTATTAAACTCTATAAAACTAGTATTTTTGTACACCGCATTATTGAACACAAGCATTGCAAGATTGGACACTGCATTGGGATTGTCCTGATTGCACACATAACCGATCGGACACGGCAATATTTCCCGATCTGACACAGGCTCGATCGGACACGGGCCCGATCGGACACGGACTCGATCGGACACAGGCCTGATCGGACACATTTTGTATCGGGTTTGCATATTTCTGTAAAGCATAATATTCTTGTGGGTGTATGGACTTACAAATGATGGAAAATTATCTGCTTTACAGAACAGTTAACCCGAGTTAAATATATATAAATATCCCGACCCATCTAGAGTCACAGTTTGTCTTAAATTTCATGTTATAAATACTTGAAAACCCATTAAAGTGTCCGATCGAGTCCGTGTCCGATCGGGAAATATTGCCGTGTCCGATCGGTTATGTGCGCAATCGGGACAACTCCAATGT